TTAAGTTCGGCATGCTGGTGACACACAAAGTATCGATAATCAGATTTAAGTTCGGCATGCTGGTGACACACAAAGTATCGATAATCAGATTTAAGTTCGGCATGCTGGTGACACACAAAGTATCGATAATCAGATTTAAGTTCGGCATGCTGGTGACACACAAAGTATCGATAATCAGATAATCAGATTTAAGTTCGGCATGCTGGTCCAATCGTCCTTTTACCAAGTTCAGGAAAATTAACTTTAGGCAAACTTGGATGTTTCAGAGAACAGTATGGTTTGGAAGAAAAATATCAAATATTTGAACATTTTCTGTAATTATTATTTAAAGGTAGATAACGGAAAGTAAAATCTTAAAGTTGATTTGAAAGTTTTGGCTATACACAGTTTACACTGGACAACAAACTTGGCTAATTTTCAACAGAAAGTAATTTTTTGTCACTAATACATTCATATTTAGTGTTATTGTAACTTTCAGATTTTTTTAAAATTTATGAAATTTTATCTACTGGAGCTAAGCCTTATTATTTTTAACTAAGCTGTTTGAACTTGTGTACTTCCTAATCGGATCCCTGTTTTGATTTCTGTGGAAGTTCGTGTGCACAGTCTCCAGAAAATCCTAGTTTTTTAACTTCTTGCCATTAATCTATAAGGTTATTTGTTCAGTTCCCTAAACAGTTGTAATTATTGGTGGTACATGAGAAAACCCTACTGATAGGTTAGCATGTAACGAACGGATACTCTGGATATAATATGGTCAGTGGAAGAAGGGTGCATATTATCATGTGTGATTTATTGGTTGATGGTCTGTATAGTTTTAAAACTGTTTCTTATTTGAAAAGGGCAAATGAGTAAAGACTAAGAAAGTGTAATTGTACCCCACAAAAGCTGAACCTTGTCAACACAGTTTAGAAATGAGATAAATCATGGTTTCTGCTACAATTTTTAATCATTATTACCTGTCATTCTTCCAATTAACTAGTATTTATATTGACTGTTGTTTAAAGTAATATTTTACACCAATACTTATATTAAGTCCCATGAAATATTCAATAACAAATGTATAAAAACTCAGTTTTGTTGAGAAGATACACGTATAAATTAACTCGTTTCTATTGCACACTTTGATGATGCTTGTCTACAATTTCATCAGTTAGCCATACTGTCTGAGGATTTTCTTTTATTACAAATAAAACGTGCAGTTTGGGTGAAAGAAAGTCCTGGTGTTTCCTATAACGTTGTCCTTAAAACTAGGGTAGATGGGTTCTTATACTTTGCTGCGACTTCCATGAACCTTTATACGCATTCACTTCTGCACGTTTCTTTAATATTTTAGCTAATATAATCAAGTAACCTGAAATAAGAATAGGTTAGCAATATGAGTACCATACACACAGAGCATTAACTACAAACTATACTATAGGCTTACTATATTACATTTACGAACTTTGTTACTGTAATTAATCTAATACGTCAACTGAAAATGTTACATATTAACAATAAATACCATTATGAAAATAAATGTTTTTTTTTTTGTCCTTTCAATCCTTAGACCTAACGGGTTCCTAGGCCTATTTATTCAGCTCTCACTATTCTTGTTTAATCGTTATATGATTTACCATAAAGTGATTTGGTATTTGAAATAAATAACCTTTTTTTTGGATACACAATATGGTAGCATGATAATAAATATAAAAATGTTAAGTCACAACAGTGAGTCTGCCTTTGTTTGAATTCCCCCTTTTCCACATAAGAGACAAATATAACTTCTTCTATTTTCACATGAAACATTAAATGTTAAAAACGTTTCAGTGACCTAATAGGTTTTATTGAAATTCACAAACATTTCAAGATGTTTGAAAATCAAAAACTAAATTCAAGGAACTGTATAAACCACAGAGAATGTTTTTATTTTCAGGACTACAGTAAGTAGGGTTACGAAAACGCAGCACAGTAGGAGGAAACACTGTACCACACGACCTACCTGTCGGGTGATTCTCCAAGTAAAAGTTAAAGGAGCCATGTATAATAACAAACCATATATATGAAACTTACATTGAGGTGGAAAAACTTGGATAATTTAACATTTTACTCTTTCTAATTGTGATTAAAAAAAAGGCTTAAAAACTGAGACGATCCCAGTTTTCCTGAGGCTTCTGTTAATCCAAACGATAACAGGTGAATGATGATATTAAATGTTGCTGCTAAATTCCACTGTAATACCATTCTGATTTTGGAACAAGTGTATGAAAATGTTGTCATGTAGCAACAGCTGCTTCTGTCTGTTTATGTGATATTTCTGTTGTCTTTGTGATATTCATAAAACACCAATGTTTGCCAACAATTTCATATTTCCATTGCAAAATGTAAGGTTGTAAATACACTGGTCTTCAATCTGATGTTGTAAAAATGTTTCCAGTTCAAAATTGTCAAAAAAAAGTCACAATTTGTACAAAAATAATAATAAAACTTGGGGTTACAGATAAGTTATGTGGATGTGTAACCAGAAACAAAGGTATTTATTACTCCTCGTTAACGTTATTCCCACACAATAAGCCAATTACTTTTGAAGAACTTTATAAGTAAGCTGTAATACCCACGCCTAGGGATGTGTACGGTAAGTTAACAAACCTGGCTGTAATATACACTCCATTGGCTGTGCAAGACTTAAAAGGGGAAACTTGTCCAGTCGTGGGTCAGAAAGGTCTACATCAAAGACAGGATCTAACGAATGAAAATACCTAGGATATAGCTTTGCTGTATCCTCTTCTTGGAAGAATGTCCAGCTGATAAAAAAAAAGAAACATCGTCTCTTTAAACAAAAAAATGCTACCACAAAAACTGGTCTTCAAATATTATAGAACATGAAAAATATTGTATAAAAAGCAGAGAATAAGTGAGCCTAATCTACATCCGTCATAAGTTTGCAGCATGTTATTCAGTAAAATAAAGTTATTGTGTGGTTTTACTCGCAACCATCAGAGTGTCGATTCTCTGACCAGCAAACACTGTTATCTAGAAAGTTCTTGAGATCATCAATTTTCACTGACTTTTTTAGATGCTCACCGTTTCTGACCAACAAACAATGCCATCCAGAAATTTGAGCCAAATGCATCGACGTGAAGTTCACTGGTTATTCCAGCCGGGGCAACGAAGAGGCTGGGCCAACTGTCCCTGTACAATGAACCAGGAGTGGTTTGCTTTAAAAAGTCTTCTGAAAATACAAATAAATTAAAATGTTTAACTTTCACAGTTAAAAAGGATGTATAGATTTTATAACTCAATTAATTTAAATGTATTTTCAGTTAATTAATATTTGTAATAATGGACAAATTTTATTTAAAAGATGAAAAATAAAGCAAAATATCAATTTATTGTATCATAGCTTTAAAAGTATTTTCATCTACAAGATAAACGTTATTTTTTGTCAATTAAAATATATATCATTTAAAAATTGGTGTACTGAAAGTGAAACAACTCCTTAAAAAAATTCTGGCTGCAAGTCTGCAAATAAACGATCTCCTAACTTCCAATACCTCTAAAATAATCTGGGACTATCAATTGGTCTGCTAGTTCTGGGCAGTGCAGAGGTAAGCTCCAATCAAATAAATATCTTTTTTCTGATTCCATGTTTACTACTGAGTCGATGAATTCTTCAACTGTCATATCTAAATCAGCTTCGAGCCGTGCCCATTCTATAGAATTGGGAACCAATTTCCTTAAAGTTACTCTCTTCTTTCCTAAAGAAAGTTCAAAATAACCAGTAGGTCTTGAAATGATAAAATATTCAAATAAACAAATAAATAAGAATATTGAGAAGTAATGTTTGTATGTAGCGAAAATCAGAGTTGTTTATTAAGTATTAAAAATTTCAAGAAATTGTTTGTACATAATTATGATAGATACAAAAACGTGTAGGATAAAAAAAATGTATAAGTCACATTAAAAAAAAATGCAAAGATGATAAACTCCAGAATTTCAACAGGTGGAGATTGTGAATGCGTTATTTCGATAAACTCCAGAATTTCACAGGTGGAGATTGTGAATGTGTTATTTCGATAAACTCCAGAATTTCAACAGGTGGAGATTGTGAATGTGTTATTTCGATAAACTCCAGAATTTCAACAGGTGGAGATTGTGAATGTGTTACTTCTTAACAAAGAACTAAAAGTTATGATTCAATTAAAAACCGTGAACAAAAATGGTAGTGATAAAAAAATTCTTTATTACAATTAAGCTTTCAATTAGTTACAGCCCTTTTTTTGAAGCAATAAATATAAAAAGGAGAGACAGGGAAAACATTATATACAACAATTCGATTACAAATAACGTGCGACAAAAGGACATGCTACGTTGTATCTAATAGAATAGTTGAGAAAATAAAGAAATTAACTGTTTAAAGAGAAATGGTTGCGTATATCTGCTCTCTCTCTCTCTCTCTATTGTTTTTTAAAGTTTTACATAACAAAACAGAAATTTCAATAGATTAGTCTGCAGACATTGCGTTCCAATTATCGAGGTTCATTGAACGTTGGGAGATTTTAATCAATATCCATGTAACGTAGTCTTGCGGATAAATACAAGGCTAGAATAAGAATGAAATATGGTAACATTCCGTTCACGTGTTACAGTTCAGTGTCTCTCTTATTTTGTTTTGTAAGTTTCTAAATGTCCACCGTTTTATGTAGCTTTTCTCAGCAACCACAAATTATTAACAATAAAATCACCTGCAACTTTACATATAAAGTTTAAGTTCCACTCCTCTTGGATCATTTTATTGACAACGTCTCGTATCACGACCGGGGTTCTTGTTCTGGCATATTTCTGATGAAACTCTTCAACCGTAAGGTCAGCTGCCGATCTTCTCTCTACCTGAACACGTTTTGATATTAAGAATGGATGTGAAAAGGAAACTAGAAAAAAATATATGAATTACATCTCAAATTTTTCTACAAAGTACAGAGAAAATACTTTAATCACACTGGCAACACTTAAACAACTAGATTTGAACTCTCTTCATATATACAGTAATGCTTTGATGAGTTGAAACATATGGGGCTAAAGCCATGCCGAGTTATTGAGGTAATTTCCTCCAACCCCCAAATCACAACTTTTTTAGCCCAAATAAACAACTATTCACTACTGTTGTTTGAAAATTAACACTTAACAGAACTGATGCCTTGTGGTAGGTGACAGAGGTGATTGTAGGAGAGCTTAATGCACTTTGGTAAATACTGTACACTATTTAAACACTAATTAAAGATTATTTGAATACACTGAAGACATCAACTGTTGTGAGGGTTCTGGGGTAATGTGAAGGAAGCTGGCACTGCTGGAATTGGTGTCCGAGGAAGAGTATTCGGATGCTGCAGGCAGACCTGTAAAGGCTTCACTACTGGTGGAAGGAAGATTTCATCTGTTTTTGTTTTTTCTACAGGGGTTTAAAAAAATCAGACATTTTCCCTGTTTGTAATTGCTGTGCTGATGCTTGATGAGATCTGCCCTGATATCTCTCAAAGTTGTATAGTGCTGTTCCAAATCAGTCAACCACTCAACTGACTCCAGTTGCTTGAAAGGACGCTTGATGAGATCTGCCCTGATATCTCTCAAAGTTGTATAGTGCTGTTCCAAATCAGTCAACCACTCAACTGACTCCAGTTGCTTGTATAGTGCTGTTCCAAATCAGTCAACCACTCAACTGACTCCA